TTCCCTTAACATCCTGCATGTTCTTTCAACCTCCAATATGATTATGGTGACGCGCAACACGAGAGAATATAATTGCTGTAGTGATTACTTACAGCCATTACATTACGCTTTAAAATGCTCCTTTCAAATTGAACAATGTTTTTCCAAAGTCAACAGCTGGTTCACAGCTTGAAAGCAACAGTTAAGATAAATTAAATAAAAAGGGTAATAAAATCACAGTCTAAATTTAATTTCTGAAATGCCCGCAGACTCCAGCAAAGCTTTTAAAACATCTTTAAAATACAGCCAGAGGAGCAAAAGTCAATCCACCCAATAATTATACAGTGTTCATTAATACGGGTGTGATGTTCAGTCACAAATAACTGCATATGCTTTTAAAAATACATGCACTAGAGCATAAAAACAAATCTGTGAAGCACTCACAGGCTGAGAAGCCCCAAGAGGATCTGATTCTACATTAAACAGAAACTTCCAGTGAGATTAGAGCTCTGGGGAGGACCTGGTTGATGGAAAGGGCACTTTCACCCCCCAACTGAGCCAGGGACTCATGACATCCCCCAAGGGCATCACAGCCTCAGCAGTCCCCTGCAGGCCCGACAGATCTGGATTGCATGTCTGATCTGTGCAACTTTATGTAAATGTCAGGTAATTTTTCATTGGACCGTCCTTCTGTTTTTCATTGGGTGAACATTATCTCTGCGGCTGACCCTGGCACTGCATGTGCTGTCTGCTTGGCTGACCATAAAGCAAACAAAATGAACATTCATTTGGCCGAGAATGAGGGGTTGGAACAATTGAAAAATATTCATCTCCAGATTTAGAGGAGCTATGCACCGAGTCTCTTTCATTTTTCTCTCCACACAGCTTTCCACATCCCACACCTTTCTGATCAGGAATGCTGCCAAGCTCTCTCTTTGACTCCATTCTTTATCCCTTTGATCACCTGTTGAACATTTTGAAGCCTATTGTGTTTTGAAAGGAAAGTGGCCCAAGAATGAAAAGCAAATGTTCCCCCTTCACTCTTTGCTTCTTTCTAATCACTTTATTTTTGTATCTCACCGGAAGTGATATTTCTTACCAGTGCCTATAGCCAGAAGGAACTCCCCACACCAGTTTTCATACCGAATCGTTATAGTGGACTGACAGCCTTGATGTCACAGTTTTACATTAATACAAGAGTGACAGACCCTCCGATGTCAAGGGGCAAAAATAACACAGCTATAGAAGTCACTAACGTGAATCTGCAGACACCCTATTCTAGTGTTCTATCAAAAGGATATGGGACAGTAGCCAAGGCCTGGTCCAGACTTCCCTTCCCTCCTGCATTTGCCAGTTATGTGATCCCTAATTCTCCTAAAGTAAAAAGCACACTACACAACACAGCAACCCATATTCTCACGGGCACCATGTACTCTGTGTGCGTGCTTGCATTCCCCGTCTATGTGCAGTATACTACTGTAGACTTGTTAAATGAAATCACAGTGGATCCTGAAGCAGCTGCACTGCAGTGGTGAGTGATTAGAGAGAGAGAGTTTGGCTATAATTTTAAGATTTTAAAGCATGTACAATATTATTAATACTAATGTTAAAATCCCCTGGCACGTTTTGCAAGAGAAGGACTATTAGCTAAGTGTCTAAGCTGCAACTTGGGTAATTACATCTACCTGTCAAAAATTTCCCCTGCAGTTTCTGGTGGTGAAGTTATTTTTCACTTCCTTCCTTAAAAGACTGTGTAGCATTGCTGTGCTCTGATAAATAGCTGCTGTAATCCACCCCACAGCCTACTGCTGTGTTTCAGTAGTGGGTGAAGTGATTTCTATCCAGATGGCCTGTATGGGCCTTTCAGAGACAAGGTGTAATATAGTGGTAAGACGTTATTGTTCCCACGATCTCCATCACATTTATCACTGAATTTCCTGCCGCCTTCCTCCCCTGTGCTAAGACTGCCACACAATGCTGGATGTCTGTTGTGACACAGTGGGATATGTCTGTACCAAATTGTGAACTCCATTTTGTATTAACCTCCATTTTGTGCTATGTACTGAATGCATGTATAATCTTGCCCAGTATGCTAGACAGCTACCAAATGCATGTGTAACCTTACCCAAGGCAAATCTATGATGATATATTTTAGACTGCTACCCTGCCCGGGAAAGGTCCATCACAGAGCAATATAGGGCCATCAACTTTGATTGTCTCTCAAACACTGGCCCAATTTATAGCATGGCTTATAACTACAGCTTCTCAGCTTGAGTACAAGGCAAAAGGAGAGAGACTGTATTTAAGGGGCAGGGGTGGTTCTCTGCGCAGGGGGAGATCATCACTGCATGGAAACAGGTGTGAGAGAATGATTCCACCCAGCGTGGACGCTGACAAACCTCAGACTCACACGATGGGTGAGATCAGTGGAGGAGACAGTGTCTCAAGACTTTTGTTTGCCTTGTTGTTTTAGCCATGTCGGTCCCAGAATATTAGTGAGACAAGGTGGGTGAGAGGTAATATCTTGTATTGGACTCAGGACTTTTGTCATTTTGCAAAGTTCTGTAACTCTGTAGAGCTTGTTAAGAGTAAAGGGACAGTGATTAGAAATGCCTTTGCTAAGCCTATGTTCTTTGCTTTCCTGACATACTTGCTTGGAAGGAGTTAAATTAGAAGTCAGAGCGGCCACAGCTAGGTGGAACTATGGGGGAGTGTGTTTAAGCCACTAGGGGTTCGGAGGTCTGAGGCGTTGGTTCCAGGATTTGGGAATGGGGGTGGCTGGACTGCAGAGTCCCACCACCCAAGGGAGGGCTCAAACAAGAGGTCAGTGCCTGGGATAAGTGCCTTACAGAAGAAGGGTTAGGAACAGTAACTATACACTGGCCGACCCAGCTGGCTTGGAAGCACGAGACCCTGCAACTTGGTCCACTCACAACAGACAGGTGACAATCAAGAGGGGAAACAGGCCAGGCTGTGGCGTCTCAGCTCCGCCCTGTGCTCTCTGCATTCTCCCTTCCCCCCGCGTGAGCTGCAATCACATGGTCTCTGCTATTCATATTGCCTCAGAAGTACATATAGCGTTCCTGTCCCCCAATTCTTTAGATAATGATTTTACAGCTTACTTATTTCCCTCTCTTAGTGTCCCCTCTAGTTCTTTCCACCCCAGCTATGCTATCCTCAAAGATTCTGCCTTTTTTTCCAAAACACTTTCTTTTAAGAAGTCCCACTGGCTTTTTCATTCACAGAGAGACTGGTATCCACTTTGCCCTCATCTTTCTTAGGATTTGTCATGTGCCCATTACCCACAGCTCCTCCCCCTACAAGACTTGGGCTAGAGCCCCCATGGTCTCCCAAAATGTGCTTTCTTGAAATGGTCTTTTCCTGAAATGTCCATTCGCAATAAGGGATGCTGCAGGCCAGGAGGCAAAGTTGTAGGGGCAAGATCTGTATTGCCCACAGTGTTACAGGCTGGGATTCTGGAGCTTGTCAACCAGCAGCCTGTCCATGGCTGGCCTGCATTCCTGAGCCACTGGTGCCACACTGTATTGAGTCCCTTCTAAACCTGATGCTCTTTGTCCAGTTCCACCCATCCTGCTACACAGCTCCAAGCTTGCTCCAAGGCATATGCCCTACAGGAAATGACACATAAGGCTTCCGCCTTGTAGGCAGAGGGGAACCGGGTAGGACTTGGGAGGGGGTGCTCGGCACCTGTCATGCAGAAAGCAGGGAGCAGGAGCTGGGTAAGGAGAAGCATTGCCTGGGAAGTCCTGGAGAAAGGGCTGTGAGACGGGGCTGTGAGGCTGTCAAGGTTGCTTTGTTTTGCATCTTTGTTTCTAAATTATTAAAGACAGTCTTGAGCAAAGGACGCGTGGCTGTGCCACTGTTAGGAGCATGGTTTCACTTTCCCCAGCTGGTGGGGGGACAGCCCACCTACTTAAACTTCCATTTCCTCTCCACTGGTCAAGCACGTGCTGCCCAGTGGCTTCCAGGACCCTGGGAAATGGGTAGGTGTTCCCAACACAAATTGGGAATTTCCTGGATCCTCTGTGCTTTACGAAACTAATTGGCCAACATATGCCTGGTTATATAGATGCAAGCTCCACTCAGCATGTCTTCTGCCTAAAAGCTTCTGATGATATCTGAAGATACTGACCAGCCCACAAGGGTTAATAACTTTTCTGATTTACTCTATCACTCGTAGAGAAAAATTCCCTCCAAATGAAAATGGCAAAAATGACCTGTCTACTCTCAAAATGTACCTCATTTCAGCGTTTTTCTCCTTTGTTTGGAACTGTTTTGTAACCATGGTGTTTGATTTCGGTTTTCTTTTAGATTTACTTATCCTAATAACAGGTTTAGACTTTAATCTTCTGATTTTTTGAAATAATTTTTTTAAAAGGACAAACTGAAATATATGAATGAATAAATCTAACCTTTCTGTGACTAAAACCAGTTGGAAATGATAAGGTGCAAAGCTCTGCTTTGTGATAAACAATTATTCCACACCTTAGAGCACCTTAGAGCACTGGACATGAGTGTGCTTTCCCTCTTCTAAGGCAAATGCTATTTTGTAATAAAAGATGAAAGAAAATCTCAAAAGTGACACATTACGTGAATCAACTCATGGAATGGGCAGTAGGCACTTTCTGGGGTGCTTGTAAATACAGTTCCATGCAGGCACCTACAGGTCAGCTGCACCAGAAGATTCAGCAATAATATAGCACTAAATAAGAAGGTAAAGACTCCTAACTCATGGGGTCCCAATCTTCTTCACCTCTCTAAATGGTAATGCCATAGTTCCTCTGCTCCTTCCTGGAAGTTTTCCCTCCAGAATATGGTACCCTTTGAAATTACGTTAGCGCCATGGGTCAGGGGGTCTGTGGATACTTGGGGGCATCCAGAATGGGCAGCAGATGTGTGTGATCAAATTCCTACCCAAAGCCCCCATGTAGCATTTAGGTACAACTCATAAAACAAATTCCAATGTGTTAGTAATCATAGGAAAACAAAAATTGCCATACCTGATCAGACTAGTGGTCCATCTGCTCCAGTATCCTGGATTACGCCGGCCCTTGATGCCTGAAAGTTATAAAAAAAATTATCCTACTTAATCCAGCTATTAATTTTATTATTTATATAAATTACTAAAGTCATCACTATCCTCCTTATGTCACATAGGTCCACTCAACCCATTGTAATACCCTGTCTTGAGTGTGTGTGCACGCACACATGAAAACCACTGCCCAGTCTACACAGAATCAACACAGTTCCTGTAAAAACAACAAGGAGTCTTGTGGCACTTTAAAGACTAACAAATTTATTAGCGCATACGCTTTCGTGGACTATGACCCACTTCTTCAGATGTATGGAGTGAAAATTACAGTAGGCAGGCATAAATATACAGCACAAGAAAAGATGGGAGTTGCCTTACCAAGTGCGGGGGTCAATGATTCAATCAGGGTGGATGTGTCCCATTCCCAACAGTTCACAAGAAGGTGTGAATGTCAACAGAGTAAAATTATGTTTTGTAGTGCTAACAATGCCAATTCCATCAGGGTGGATGGCCCGTACTCAACAGTTGATGGGAGATTATGTCTTGTAGTGACCCAGCCATTCCCAGTCTTTATTCAGGTCTAATTGCATAGTGTCAAGTTTGCAAATGAATTCCAGTTCTGCAGTTTCTCACTGAAATCTGTTTTTGAAGTTTTTTTGTTGAAGAATGGCCACTTTAAGTCTGAAATTGAGTGTCCAGGGAGGTTAAAATGCTCTCCCACTGTTTTTTTAATGTTATAATTCTTGACATCTGCTTTGTGTCCATTTATTCTTTTGCGTAGAAACTGTCCGGTTTGGCCAATGTACATGGCAGAGAGCCATTGCTGGCACATGATGGCATGTATCACATTATGTGCAAATGAACAAGCCCCTTATAGTGTGGCTGCTATGGTTAGATCCTGTGATGGTGTCACTTGAGTAGATATGTGGACAGAGTTGGCAATGGGGTTTGTTGTAGGGGACGGTTCCTGGATTGGTGTTTCTGTTGTGTGGTGTGTGGTTGCTGGTGAGTATTTGCCTCTGGGTGCTGTCTGTAAGCGAGGACTGGTCTGCCTCCCAAGGTTTGTGAGAGTGAGGGATCGTCTTCCAGGATAGATTGTAGATCCCTGATGATGTGTTGGAGAGGCTGGGGGGGGGGGGGGCTGTAGGTGATGGCTAGTGGCGTTCTGTTACTTTCTTTGTTGGGGCTGTCCTGTACTAGGTGACTTCTGGGTACCCGTCTGGCTCTGTCAATCTGATTCTTCACTTCTCCAGGTGGGTATTGTAGTTTTAAGAATGCTTGAAAGAGATCCTGAAGGTGTCTGTCCCTATCTGAGGGATTGGAGCAAATGCTGTTGTATCTTAGGGCTTGGCTGTAGACGATGGACCGTGTGGTGTGTTCTGGATGAAAGCTAGAGGCATGTAGGTAAGTAGGTTTCCGGTATAGGGTGGTGTTTATGTGTCCATCCCTTATTTGCACTGTAGTGTCCAGGAAATGGATCTCTTGTGTGGACTGGTCCAGGCTGAGGTTGATGGTGGGGTGGAAATTGTTGAAGTCCCGGTGGAATTCTTCAAGGACCTCCTTTCCATGAGTCCAGATGATGAAAATGTCGTCAATGTAGTGCAGGGGTAGACAAACTATGGCATACGTGCCAAAGGCGGCACACGAGCTGATTTTCAGTGGCACTCACACTGCCCAGGTCCTGGCCACGGGTCCAGGGGGATCTGCATTTTAATTTAATTTTAAATGAAGCTTCTTAAACATTTTAAAAACCTTATTTACTTTACATATAACAATAGTTTAGTTAGATATTATAGACTTATAGAATGAGACCTTCTAAAAATGTTTAAATGTATTACTGGCACGCGAAACCTTAAATTAGAGTGAATAAATGAAGACTCAGCACACCACTTCTGAAAGGTTGCCGACCCCTGATGTAGTGTAAGTAGAGGAGAGGCACTTGGGTACAAGAGCTGAGGAAACATTGTTCTAAGTCGGCCATAAAAATGTTGGCATACTATGGGCCCATGCAGTACCCATCGCAGTTGAAGGTATAAATCGTCCCCAAATCTGAAATGGTTGTGGCTGAGGACAAAGTCACAAAGTTCTGTTACCACGTGAGCCGTGACATCATTGGGGATACTGTTCCTGACAGCTTTAGTCCATCTTTGTGTGGAATGTTGGTGTAGAGGGCTTCTACATCCACAGTGGCCAGGATGGTGTTTTCTGGAAGATCACCAACGGATTGTAGTTTCCTGAGGAAGTCAGTGGTGTATTGAAGATAGCTAGGAGGGCTGGTAGCATAGGGCCTGAGGACAGAGTCTATATAGCCAGACAATCCTGCTGTAAGAGTGCCAATGCCTGAGATGATGGGGCGTCCAGGATTCCCAGGTTTATGGATCTTGGGAAGCAGATAGAATACCCCTGGTCGGGGCTCCCGGGGTGTGTCTGTGTGGATTTGTTCCTGTGTATCTTTAGGGAGTTTCTTGAACAAATGGTGCAGTTTCTTTTGGTAATCCTCAGTGGGATCAGAGGATAGTAGCCTGTACAATTTCCTGTGTGTCTGCATGGCTGTTCTCCCTGGGCCCTCAGATCTACACAAGTATGTGTGACTAGCGCACCCTCCTGTGCCTGGAAGCCTGAAAAATTTATGAGACTCCCAATCCAACTGTACCTGTACTTGTGAATGGAGACACTTTTCTGCCTCCAATGGTAAATGCTTGTTTCCAAAGAAGAAGGATATTAACTACATGTGCAACTTGCTAACAATTGCTACGCCACTGCCTGCAATCACAGACTGTTACACTCCCCCTCACTTTTATTTGTCACAGTTAATGGTGATTCTCTTCAGTATGGGACTGCCTTTTCAGGTAAATAAAAGGTTTCTGTATACTGGTTTACTGATAGGAGCTATGGCAATTGGAGATATATCGATCATTAAAACTAATAAGTAACATGTTATAAATCACCAAAGCTGCTGGATATTTATCAGCCCACTGAAAAATATTCTTGGCAAGGCACTGCAAATCCTGCTTCAATAAATATTTGATGCACCAATTGCTGTAAAGATTTTTTGTTTCTTTTCATTTTGAAGAAGCTCCCTGAATGCATTTGCAAATACAAAGAAATCCCTAAGTGAATTCAAATTGAAATAAACAGAGAGAGAAAGCTAGTAAGCTACATTTTTATAATGACTTAATTGATGTTACTCCCACCCAGCAAAGATACTCAGAGCCCTTTTCAGACAATTAACATTATAACATCCAAAAGACACAAAATCACATGCCCACCTAAAAAAAGTCATTAACAGAAGAGGTGGAACACACTTCTGGGGATACCCAGAGCTGTGAGCCATTGTTACCTGTCTGCCTCAGCAAGAGTGTGTCAGCTCCCCGCCACACCAGTCTGTCTTCCTCACCCATGAACTCCTCCAGGCGCTTCTGGCCTAGTCCTCGCTTAGCATGCAGTTAAAAATCATTGGACTCGAGCCCCCCCGAGCTCCTTAGAGATGTTTCTCTGCAATGCACAGCTCCTACCACTTTGCTCTGTTAAAAAGTCAGACATCACAGCTCATTGCCTGGGGGTAAATACACACTTTCTTTCAAACACTGCACTGAATTAGTTTATAGTAAAAGTGAAATAAGTTTTTCAAAAAAGGAACATGGATTAAGTCATACCAAGCAAAGAGAGAAAGGGAGAGATGGTTACGAACAAATAAAAGTAAAAACACATCTAAAAGTCTAAAATTTAATCTAGCAAGATATAGTCTTTGTTAAAGATGTTTTTTTCACCCACAATCTCCTTTTTACTGGCCGGCCTGGCCAGAACCCATCACAGAGATCAAATCACTTGGTTTCTTTGTCTCCTGAGGTGAAGGATAAAAATGGAGTCTCCACCTGTACCTTATATCCCTAAAGGGATGTCTTTGTCTTACAAGTCAGAAAGGCCTTTTGGGGACTCAGTCTCCTGTATCTCTCTGGCGTGCAGGAGCCATGTTAATTCTCTGTCTCTGGAGTTCAGGAACAGGAAGGATAACCTGTGCTGGTTTAGCTCGATAGCTTTGTTTACCGCTAATATGTAAACTGAGATAAACCCACTTTTCTTTGTCTAGGACAGACCTGTTTATCACCTTTATGTAGACTGGGCTGTCTTGCCTTAAACAGCATAAAGACAAAATTCATAACTTCACATATAAAGTCAACACATGCATTTTACAATGATATTAATAACAGGTGTGTTATTACCTTTCATATGATACCTCACAAGGTATATTTTGTTCAGTATCACAGCAGTAGTGTGTAGAGTGTGAATACAGGGTGCTTAGGGTCACAGGAGGTCTGACCAAGTGATGTTAAAGAAAACTTGAGTGTTTCTGGTGATTTTTGAAAGTGGGATTGGATGTCCTATGGCAGAATATCCTGTGTCCTACACACACTGCAATGAACCACATTCCAAAGTGCCACGCATAATGTCACCTTATCTTGGTTAAAGTTATTCCAGCTAGTAATATCAGAGAAATTATGACAATATGTTGTTCTACATGAAAGTACATGACAGAGCTATTTGTAAGACCTGGCAGCTGCCACTCTCGGCACAGCAGATGGCAGCGATAAAAACACAATGCAGAGAACAGGTTGATAAAGACATTTCCGTCATTACACTTTCACTTTACAATTACACTCGACTGCAAGATACAATTGAAATGCATGGCTCTGTCACTCTCGAGCAGGAGGAATTTGCTTATCTGTGGAAAATCACTCTGGTGTAACAATTAATTTCATACATATTATTAATCAATATAATTCATCTCCTGTCCGCAGACGCAGGAAGAGGCAACCAGCAAAGACACCTGAAATCCAGGGCTGCCCAGAGGGGGAGGCAAGTGGGGCAATTTGCCCCAGGCCCCGGGCCCCACAGGGGACCCCACGAGAATATAGTATTCTATAGTATTGCAACTTTTTTTTATGGAAGAGGCCTCCAAAATTGTTTTGCCCCAGGCCCCCTGAATCCTCTGGGTGGCCCTGCTGAAATCTTCACAGTGAGCAGCGCTAACTGGTCGTCCTCTTCTTCCCCCAGTGGGAAAGAGACAATCGTCTGTCATCAGTAGCGAAAAGCCAAGGTGAGGGATAGTAACAAACACACACATCTGTGACAACTATCACTTCATGTTCCCGCACTGGGGGCCATCGAGTGAGTTACATTCACTCACTAGTCCCTCATCTTCAGCTCTCTTGGGTTCCTTAATGGGTCTGGGGCTGGTGGAAGGTATAAGCAGATAGCCTCAGGCCTGATAACATCTATTTACCCTGAAGCACACAGAGCGGGGCAGCAGCTGTGCCAGCTTCTCCCATACTCTTCTCCATCAATAAGCTTGATTCCTACCATGGAGGGACCACTGCTCAACATGATGGGGGACTCCTTGGCCTCTCTGCTGAGATGGCCAAGATCAGGGGCAGGCAATTCAGATCAATGGTGAAGGCATATTTGGCACTGAGGATCGCTGTCCACTAGAAATGGAATTCTGACTCCCATTTCATTTCACACAGGCCACTGGTCACTACTGACCTGGAACTGGTGACCCTGTAGAATTTGTTGCCAGGGGATGTTGCAAAAGCCAAAACAGTAACTGGATTCAAAAAAGAATTAGATACATTCTAATTCTAGTTCATGGAGGCTAGTT